CCCTGTTGGCTTTTGTTTCGCTGCAGCTTCCGTTCATAACGAAATTAATGTTTACCGTCCTCTTTGCTTCCTACATATCTAGCAGCTGCATAAACAAATTTTATTTCGACTGAAGTGGAGCAACAGCTCAACTGCAAATGTGCTACATATGGCGGTCATAACGCTACCTGTCGGGGCATGCATCAATATGACAGCAACGTAACACGTCAAAGTGTCGAAGAGTGTCAACGATTCACTTGGGTTAGTATGTCAAAAGCATTTTCGAGCGCAGTCGCTTTAAGATTTCACCCTATTCCTTCTTGCAACACTTTTTCTTACTTTTAATAAATATATGGGGCTTTAATAATGAAATTTTCATATTACCATATTTTATAAGCAGTCAAGTACTTTGCTGGGTGAGTTTACAAGAATATTGAGAGCTATACGTAAAAAGTTTCCAACTTTAAGTTTTTGTTTCAGCAGCAATTAATTAATAAAATCCTTCCCAAAAATGAACACAATGAGAAAATTGTGCTACTATATAATGTACTTACATAAATGTAATATAATACGTGGTTCCAATGTTTTTTAAAGTCATATAAAAAAACCCTTCAGGTAGTACTTTTTGACAATGTGAACAAAATCTTTAATGTTTTTGAATACAATAGACTTCGTTCGTAAATTCAAAAAAATAAAAAAATTTTGGGCGCGTTTTTCTAGCAACGCTGTTTAATGACTCGTTAAGTAAAATTTTCCTGCGAAATGGCTAGATCGATTGACTTAAAATTTACATATGATTTTCTTACTATTTAATTTAATTAAAACTACTCCTTCTTTCACTCGACATTTTTTATTTAGAGTCTCTTAAAGGAAACTTATTTTTTTCATATACATAAAATAATATATTTAAATATTTCGAAATGCAGATATAAGTCGAAGTGTTTGAAATCATATACGCGTATATCATTAAACAATTCTTCAACTAACGAACCACACGGCGGTGTCGCTAGAGAAGTTGAAATAACTGTCAGTGTGCCATTTACAATTCAAACAGGAATTACGGTATGTATGTAATAGCATTTTCTAATTCAGGACAAACCGTTATTCAGAAATTCACTTTCAACATGTTCACACCCCGTGGGTTGAACCAGGAATATGCATATGCACAGGTGCAACTCAACAACAGCGCAACTGTCAATGGTGGCATGTGTGTTAGTATGGAGTTGACAATATACTTATATATGGGAGTTATTCAAACTGAGTCCAAAGGTTTGCAATTGCACTACTCTATTGATGTTAGCAAACAGTTGTTGAAAGCCTAAATGTATGCTTCATTTGCTGCGGTCCATAGGATATACATATTTATATATCACGATATGTAAGTATGTGTGGAGCTTTGATTTACAGGCAGAGTTGCATTCGCAAGTGAACAAATACAAATGATATAAGTGAGCATGACAGCTGTATGAGTATATGGGTCAAATAGCCACATATGTACATATACATATATATATAAGTATTTTGATGTTGTTTTTCTACAGAATACTTTAACAACAATTTGATGTGAATGAAATTGTAAATAAATCTCGGGGTAGTTTAACAACAAATCGTCACCACATCCTTTAGAAAAACATTGAATTTCATTTTAGTTTTTGCCCACTTTTAAATACATACATACATACGAAGTTATTCGCTTTCATTCACAGACAGCAAAAACATACACTGCATGTGTGTAAGCGTGTGTGTATTACTCTGCGAAGCGTGAAAAAATTTTTGTAATCTGTATGTGTAGTGGACATGGGAAAATATTCCTGAAGGATCCATTGAAATAAACAAACCACAGAGAAACACACACTCACACGTTTTCAAAATCACACAAATGTTTTAGTGAAGCGCATCTAAAGCAGATAAACTAAACTAAAAATCGGGAATGAGTTACCTTTGCATAGACACACATAAACACATACATACACACACAGTGCACAGACAATTCAGGAAGCTCAACTTGGCGAGTGTGAAGTGCCGTTGGTGTAATGCCGCGCTGAATAAAGCAAAAGTGCACCGGGATGCCGCCGCTTGTTGTTGTTGTTGTATGTAATGTATGAAAGAATGAAAGTGAAAGCCCTTTTCATATTTAGGGCAGTGTTCTACCACCTGTGTACATACATATTCAATATAATAGCAGCCAGTTTTTCCATATGTGTCAAACAAATATGCAACTTACACACACACGTGTGTTTTTTTTTCTTTTTTGTAACATATGCGAAACCGCGCTGTTTACCAATGTATTCGAAAGTACATGCGCACACATCCATTCCTGTGTATAAATGTGATGGCATTATGTGCAAACTCAAACCTCTATTTCCACTACTTGAACCCATCTTGGCCGTCCGCTGGCTCATTACCAAATATGGAGTGTTTAGGTTCATTAGTTTATTTGTAAGAGATTTTGTTTGAGTTCAGAGCATGGACTTTGAAAATTGAAAAATATGGAAAATTTCCTGTGACTGCAACGGTTTTTATAAAAGCTGTCAATGTATGTAATCCATTTCTTTGCTGTTCTAAGCTTGGTTTTTTGAAAATATCCAAGACACAAACCACCAAAAACTATATAAATGACGTTAACGGAATTTATACGAATATTTTTCCGCCAAGCGCTGTTTTTTCGGCAATCTAAACCTGTTTGAGTCAATAAGTGGTAAGGAGGATCTTGCTCAGCCTTCTAATAAAAATAAAAAACTAGAGACAAGCATTTGTATTGTAGTTTTTATTCATAACTGTTAATGCGTTATTGTAATATATTAACAACGCACGAAGATTATCCCGAGCTGTAATGTTTCCTGAGTATTCACTTTCCTCGCGAGGCACTACTCTGTCAAACTCCACACACCTTCACACACAAGTTAATATGTACGCATTTCTGCTATATTATTTGGCACCTAAAAAGTACCGTTTTCACTTGCTCATTAACGTGCGAATAAACAAAATTCACTCGTCTATTTGCTTGTCTGATTTTTATTTCCATTTAATATTAACATATGTGTACGTATAGTTGAACAGCGTTTCACACCCCAGCTCCTGGTGGCGTTTACTTATGCTTCGGTTTATTTGCTCAAATAACTCGGTTTCTGCTCTTACTTCATTTATTATGTGATTTGTTTCCGCAATGTTTTATGAGCACATGAGCGCATAAAAGCGAAATAAAAACATTTATTATGAATTGAGGTTGGGCTGCTGCACACAGCGACACATGCTGACACAGTTAGTGTACCAGATTCTAACACCTAGACAACGCTGAGTGGATACAATATTTATTTTCCGGCATATAAGCATGCTTTTACCAGGTAACTACGTCATTCCAACGCCAGGCAGCTGTGTCACCTGCGCTCGATGCAAATTCTCACCAGCTACTTCTGGATTTTCGTGCTCTCAGGCGCTAACGCTGTTTCAATTTCTTAAATCTGTGACCTCGCTACATACTTCCTCACCTTGTTCGCTGCCCTCCATCTGCCGCCTACTTCAGCGCTTCATTTGTTGCCTCTTCAACTCTATTTTATTTCCTCTGTTGTTGCAAGCAACCACATACATGCACACTGACATACAGACAATCGCATACGTATGCCGCAACTTTATTCCCTTTTGTTCCACTATTTTGTTCCACGCTCCTTGGGACTTGGCTTATTAGTCCGTTCAGGTGAAGACGACAACATGACTGCCTGTCACTTGTCGCCCATTCAATGCTTTCATTCATGCTTCTATTGCCAATTGTGCGCAACGCTTGCTTTTGCTGTGGCACATGGCAGCGCATACAAATTTCGCTTGACAGCAAGTAAAAGTATGAAAGCAAACATATATTCTCCATAATATTTGCCACATTGCAAGCAAGCATATGAGTGTATATATGTATGTGTGTGCAGTTGTGCGACCCATGTTCATTCAGTAAAGTGTCTGTGAAAATAATTAAGCGGAATTTCACTTTCACTTTTCAACTTCATTTGCTCAGTCATACCAGATAAGTGAAAGCGACATGAAAACCTACACCCATACTTTAATGCGCATAAACATATGTACACATTAAATGTCTCAGCACTTATCCCTGTCGCTTCTTGTTTTGCCCGCTTTATAGCTGAGCATATTTTGTTCCTTCTTTTATGCTGTTTATCTTGCTGCTTTTTAGTGGGTCACGTCAGCGCAATTAAACTTGTAGTTGACTAGGTGTTCGTTTTAATTCTTTTCATTTCCTGCTAAGCCTATTTTTAGGCGCACAAAGAATTTGCTGCTGAATATTCAATTGCTCGATGGGCTTAGCAGTCACTAACTTTACCAAATATACGTGTATATACAAGTAGAGTCATCATTTTATGAGAGTGTTGGTAGTGAAGAGTGTCGTTGCTCTGCTCTAATTAAAATATTTATGGTTTGTAGGTAAGTAGATGAAAGTAAGCAAGTAAGGAAAATTTTGCCATATAATGAAGATTTTGTATTTAATTTTAATTTGTTTACAAGATCTTACTAACATTAATAATTTCGTAGTCTATATTAAGTCTAACAAATTTTGGAACACTAAAATGTTGCCTACATTTCGGATGCCGCTAGCTGTAAGACCGTTGCAGCGACCAATTCCAAAAAATAAGGATTTCGTATCAAAATAACGAGCATTTAGAAAATAATTTCTACAAATTTCAAATCCAAACCCACAATTTTATCTCTTTAGACTATATCAATAAAATTGCCAACAAAGGTTTTAACACTTGTAGCCTACATTTAGGATGTCGCTAAGTTTTAAACTTAAACATTTTAATGCCAACGTAGTTTTGATTACTAAATTTTTGCCTAAAGAGTGGTTCTTTCTGTTAAAGTATGGTTCAATAACAAAATAAGCAGCATTTAGAAAATAATTTTTACAACTCCAAAAAGCAAACACACGATTTCTCTTCATTTCTAACAATAGTACTTTGATACTCCAAATTCGTCGAAGAATATTTCTTTATTTTGTAAATTAAAAATCACAATGTACTTACCACATCGATTATTTGCATTAAAGTTAAACCAAAACTTAATTGTAATGGATCCGACTCATTTAAAACCGGACGCTCTAGAGTATTATAAGGATCTAATAGATCATGTAGCAGTCTCTTTTCATGATATCCTGCTAGACCAACTGCAAAGAGAAGAAAAAGCAGAATAAATCAAAATGTTTGAAATTATTAAAATAGTAAATATTCGTAATTTATTAATATTGTTTATATATTTATACACGGAACAGTAAATATTAAGTTTGCCACGACATTTGTTATAAATAAAAGGACACGTCGGAGTGCCACGTTTTTAAGGTATTTATCAATCTGAAAATTTGTCCTTGTAAGGAAACTTTTCTTATTTGCCGAAATAACATCACGAAGTTTGGTATCGATCGAACATCTATAGCATATAGCTGCCATACCAACTGATTGCTCACATTCATGTCCCTGTAAACTTTTTAACTGACGAAATTTTACACGAATTTTTGTCTAAAGCAACGGTATACTCTCGGAAGAAATTATGCAGAAAGGACTACTAAAGCATATAACTGGCATACAAAATGGCTGTTCAAAATCAAGTTCTTGTATGTAATTTTTTGTATCTGTGTAGGGTAACACCAAAGCTACGTTTTTTCTTGTTTATCTCACTTTCGTTTAAACTCAATTGAAGCCTTCTGTAATAAAATATCTTAGGATACACTCGATAATTGCAAGCCGCCTATAATTCATATAATTGCTTATAGAAAAAGCTTAGTTGAAACTTCAAAAATTCAAGTAGAAAGTACTAGTTCTACTTGTAGTAAAGTCACACTCATTCCCAAACACTCAAAAGTCATACTTTATGTCTAACGCATAATGGCGTCTTAAATCGTAACAAAGTGTTATAATTAACTTCACGACATCTCATTGCAATATATGCAACGTAAGTCCGCAAATATGAATATTCCACCAAATTATGTGATTTACCTTTTGTATTAGGTTACCACAAATGTTATTAGATGCTTGCCGTGCGCCAAATAAAATATGTGAACAATCAATAAATATTGTGTGCAAAAAGCACAAAAATGCCATACTAACAACAACAACAAATGTTAGTAGCAAAAATCGCTTTACTCTCTACTGTTTCACAGTTTCGCATCGCAGAGGGTGCGAGGAAAAGTTGTCAGAAATATGCGCTTGATTGCGCACACAGATGTGATTGAGCTGTCACAACTATTTACACATAAGCTACGCATACGCATGCAGGAAGCTTTGTATGTCTGCAGCGCCCAAATCTTCTTATTTGTTTGTATGTATGTATATCCCTTCGAAGGGCGCACTTTCAGCTCGATGTGCGCAAACGATTTAAGACCCAATTTACTGTGGATTTTTGCGGTCCTGTATGCCTTCATATTATATTTTCACTTTGCCCAACCATATGATGTCATAAATCAAAATTCAATCAGCTGATTTTGACAATGCACGCGGCACATACAGCACTCAGCGTGCGCAGGCTGAAAAGGAAATCGAAAAGAATGTGTTTGTGTTTGTGAGTGGAAAGAGTCCAACTACCCACGTCAAAGGGAAACGACACTTGATTGCCATATTTAACGGCAAAGGGCAAGTGAAAAGGCTGCTTATGCGTCTGAAAGTATGCTTTTGTGCGACGTATGTGGCTGGTGGCTTGTTACAACTAACGACCAACACTTAAGCGTTTGTGCTTTAAGTTTGCGTTTGTGTTGTGTGGACGGGAATGACATAGATGTGAAAATAAATAATAATAATCCACTTGACGTTTGTATTATCGTCTAAGCAAGAAATAATGAGTGCCTAATTTACGATATTACCAAATCATATAACTGTTTACGTAACATATATGCAGTTAACTGTGCATATAAGCACGCACATCTTGAGTGTATATAAACAAGCACAAAGAAAGCATAACCACAAGCTCTAAGCCACATTAGTGGCCTAAACCTGCAGGGTAAGCAACATAAGCGGCTAACGATATTCAGTATGAGTTATATAAGACTTAAATAACGTTTTTTATGAGCTGCTACTCATATATCATGACAGCCTGCTGCCCGCCGCGCCCCACTTTATTTCAAGTCTAGTTTTTGTATTGCTCCATTTACCACTTTTCCCTTGAATTTAAAGCTTTAAATTTGTACACGAGTACCTTTTTCAATGTTCTCGCATGCCGCGTACCTACTTACAAGTATGTGTGGCTGTGCCTGCAAATGTATTGGTTGCCACTCATAAATTGTCAAATGTGCGCATAAATTTTCAAACTTGACTGCGGCAAAGTGTAGTGGAAAAATGTTTGAGAGGCGAATAAATTTTATTGGAAGGCATGCACGAACCGATAATACTTAAGCTTAAAGCATTTGTGGCATAAAATCAGCTGGCTAGCTGGAGAGTGGGGTGAAATGGGTATATAGATTTTCTTAGTCAAAAAGCATTTTGAGTCACAAAAAAATATGGGGAATTGAATGGCAAAAAGAAGAGATAGGAATTTTTTAACGAATCCCTTTTAATATATTGATTTCAGAAATAAAGAAATTATTTCTTTTTAACGAAATATTTAATTATAATAGTTTATATTGTAACGAGGAGTTAAAATTGGAAATTGGTTTTTGATGATTTTTAGCGCTTCTATTACCTATGCCACTTGAAAGAGCGTGTTTAAGGAGAATATTTAATGACCGCTGAACTGCTGAAAGGATTAAGCAATGATTTCCATTCCCATAATAATAACACTGGTGTTCAGTGGTTGTTGCCCTAGATATAAGATCGATTTTGGTTACATTTGTGTTCACAATTCATGACACTGGCAATCATTTTGTATGATTTGCTCTCGTTTACTTTTAAATCTTTATTAGTTTATTATAGTCTTACTTCTTAGTCATATTTGCTTTTATCGCAGAATATTCAAATTTGTCAACATATTTAGGAAATTTTCTTCATAATTTTTTGTTTTACGGTTCCATAAGAAAATTTCGACTATCAACACCAAACCTTTCCAAGGTATATCTCCAAATGTTACTACGGCTACTAAAACTTAGGGTACATTTAGAACGATGCTAACCTTTAGACTAGTATAGCAAAAAGTTAAAAAAAATAGATGTAACACCAAAATAATCAGCTTTTTGGAAAATATTTCCAGAACCTTAACAACTTAAAGAGTTCCAAAAAGAATTTTGTCGTAGTTTCGATTCTCAAATCGACTGTAAGAGCTTTACTGAGGTTCTTCACACTTAGTATAAATTCCATTTTCTTTCAATTTCCACAACCTTTGAACTAACATATTAACTCAGCTTAAAGTTATGTTTCTTTTTTCTACCTAATACTACTTTTTGATGATTTATAAAAGATCTTATTAATTACGAGAGGCAGTCATAACTATTAATTTATAAATTATTTTTTGATCATGCATTTCAAAAGATTTGAATGTTCTATTGAGGAATTTAGCTTTTTACGCTTATAACTAATGACCGTAGAAACTAACCTACCTAAATGAAGTTTTTGTATAGAAAAATTTTTTATTTGATATTTCTAAAAGAAATTTGGCATAGATTATTATGCAACGCACCGCTAAAGTCTCTAAATAAATTACCCGAATCGGCTCATTATAGCATATAGCTGCCATATAAATTCTTCGGTCAAAATAAAGCTAAAGATTTTTTATACTATAAGATTACCTCTGCGAAAAAAAATATTTTTTCTTGTTTCCTTTTTAAAACAGTTTCTGCTTCAGATACACCCGTTGTTTTTAATTTTAAACCTTCCCACTTAGCTATTAAGGCGATGGGTAGACAACCATATTTCAAAAAAAAATTTTAACTAAGCAATAACTTAGCTAATTACACCTTAACATATACCGCACTATTTTCCTCGATGCCAAAAAATATTTTAAAAAATCTGCAAACATTATTCACTTACCTAGAGGGAGAAAGGGAAAAGAGGATAAGCAAGTCGTTAATAGTGCCTGTCAAATGCAGCAGCGGCAAAACACCGCAACCTGATCAGCTGCTAGTTTTCTTGCTGAGCTGCAATATAAACACTGTGTTGCTTTTCACCAGCTACATAAATAATTCATTGAATTAGTGTACCGCTTGGCCAGCAAAATAATCCGTATTTTAAAATGTACAAGAACAGTGTTGCAACATTTCGCTTTAGCGCTAGAAGATATCTTAAGCAAGAAGAAATTTATTTTGCGGCGAACACAAACAGCAAGAGATAGATGCAAAAACACACACATACACACACACTTACAGTTACATGAATGCAAGTGATAAGAAAGTGGCTGAGCCAAAGTAGTTGCATTTGCAGCAAGGACGCAAAGACGTAAGCGCAGGATGCCTGCGAGTGGCAGAGCGGCTACTTCACCAACAACTGCCCGCCTAACTACACTCGCTGCTACAGCAACAACAACAATACTAAAAGCATCAAGTGAAGTGGATAAATGCGCAAGTTTTTGTCGTTTTGCTTAAGCTCGTGCGGAACTAAGTGAATTTTCGTGCAAAAACAAAAAGAAAACAACAGCAAGTTGGCTCGAGCTGTCATAGTAGCTTGAAAGGAAACCAAGACTGCAGAAAAAATGCTCTAAAGCAAACAATGAATGCGGTGTGTAAGACGCTGCCAAGCAAACAAGCAGAAATATGTTTCTCATTCACGCTCCCTACGAGACTCCTAACAGTTAAAACGAAGAAATAGCAGACTAAAACTACATCGACATCGAATTTTGCTACCACCCATCTACAACAGATGCGTATGCAACGAAATTCTGACAGTTGGAAAAACGGAGAGGGCAGCAAAAAGAAATGTGGAAACGTAAGCACTACGCAGGCTAAAGCAGCGCTCGTTGCTGCAGCTGACGCAGGCAAAAGGTATTTGCAAGTGGAAAAGCATACTTTCCAAACCTCCGCTCTCCCCTTAACTTACGATGCATAATTTCGATGAAACCTTCAGTGGCCGTGGCGGCGCAAATGTTGCAATGGTGTAGGCGAGGAGTGCGAAGTGCGAAATGCAAAATTGAAACTTGAATGGTTCGCAAGTGAAATGCACTTTGTCGGTACTTTTGACAGACATGCTCGTGTGTAATTAAATTTCGCTGACACGGCGCACTCAATCGGTGGCATTTTATACAAACAGAAACTCC